CTCATATCCCGCCCAACAATAAAAGAGCATCGCAGCTTCCGTCCGCCAACGCCCAAATGAACCACGCCGTGGAGGGAGAGGGAGAGGGAGAGAGAGAAAGAGAGGCAGAGGGGCTCCCTGCTCTCTGTTTCTCGTTATTGTGTCCGCGGGGGGCGCCAGAGGAGTGAGTGGGGGCAGCGCAGCGAGATATGCAGTCGCCTGACTCAGCAGCATGCCGAGCAAACTGATATTTTCTCGTCGGATCTTCTATGCTATTTAGCCAAACGTTTAATTAGCTTTATAATTAATCATCATAAGTGCACACTAATGCTTGAATGAACTGCTGCCACCGTAAACCACGAGGTCCAATTTTTAGGTTTGAGGGGAAAAGAAGACTTTGAGGGATTGCCAGAACTTGAGGAAATCTTAAAGGGGTAGGACCGGCTTTTGGTTTATTTCACAAATCGATAGAGTACTACATTTTTATGCATAATTTTGTTGGTAGTTGTGAAAATATGACAGTTTGTGTTTAATTATAAACAACAATTATGCGCGAGAACAACACGCACCCAGAAGTTCATATAACTAAGCATAACTAACAAGGGCACCAAAACATTAAAAATTTAGTGTGTACGTTTGGGATGAAATTTAAAAGATTAATATGACTCTACTGTCGGATCCTTCTCCATCACACACATACCACTCGTTTGCCCTTTTCCCAGTTTTATCCACGACGACGCTTAAGTTTTGTTTTCACATACATCTTGAAGGAATATACGATCAGGAGAAAAGGGAAAAGCAGCGGGAAAAGGGGGAGAAGAGGGAGAGGATAGGGGGAGGGGGTCCTCGCGGGGTCAGCCCCCTGCATTATGTAAATTATTACACCCCTCCCCCTCTACCTCCACGTACCAGTGACATAAATCCCAGCTGATGGCTTGCTTGCCGCCCCCATAGAAACTCATCAGCGGTGCAGGCCTGTGTGAGTGTGTGCAGGCGCGCGCGCGTGTGTGCGTGTGTGTGGAAGAGGGGGGCCAGGGGAGGGGCCCCGCAGGAGGGACATTTAAGCAGAGAAACGAGGAGAGAGGGTGTGGAGGGGGAGCAGGGGCCCAAGAAACGAATGTGTAAGTGCTGCCCTAAGAGTCCTAATGAGCCTTCATGTCCGCTGGAGCTACGAGTTCACACTCCTCCCCTCCCTCATACCGTAACTCTTTCTCCATTGGGCCTCTCCTCCAATGTTTGAAAGCTGTTGCAGCGTTGCAGCCCGCCTCCCCCCAACTCTCGTTATTTAGAAAGTATTATATACAATGAAGAAACCACACAATTATTTCTCCGAGCCTCATTGGAGTCTGTGCGGCGATGTTGTATGTCCACCATGCACTCGACGTTACGCTGGTCGTTTTTGTCTTTGCAGAGTAGGCCTCATTTGCAAGCGAGCTGGCAGAATGTGTCGCCTTTATCATGCACAGGAAATTCCTGTTCTGCGAGTCGAGTTGCCGTTCCATCGCATCCCATCTCATCCCGTCCGGCCGCCGAGCGGAGCGCGGGAAGACCCATCCGAAAACTACATGCCACGTCTGCCGTCCCCCTCGCACCAACACAGGAGGGAGAGAGAAAGGGCCGGAGAGAGGGGAAGGGGAGGATAGGAGGAGGCGGGGGGAAGGACACACCGAAGCTCAGGCGCCCCAACAGGACAACAACACGGCCAGCACAGGATGCGGTATTTTCAGAGGTCGGCGATGGACGTCGACGTTATGGTCGCCAGAGGTGTGCCTGTGTGCGTGGACTGGACACCTCGACCGGAACGCCCCGCCCCGCCCTCCGGTACGCCTTGCTCCGAAGGCCCGGCCCCAGCACCGGGTCAGGACAACAAATCCTCCGAGAGCCAGGGTGTGGTGCAGAACGCGACACTCTGCTCGCCCTGCTCTCTGCTGAGGTCCCACCCCAGGCGGCCGTTGACGCCTCCAGAGCGTCCGGAGAGGACGACGTGCAGGACTCGCGCAGGACCCGTCGCAGCGCCTGTCAATGAGTTATTGATGTCCAGGCTGAGGCGCTTACAAGGACCAGATGCATATCACACTCGCTGATGAATACGTTCGCGAACGCCTCCCCGCCTCCCTCCAGAACAGCCAGACAGTACCCGCCTGTTCGCAACAGAATATATATCTGTCTCGCTCACGCACACGGGACGGGCTCTTGCTCGGTCTCCTCAAGCAACACAGTACCCGCCTGTCCGCCACAGGATCCTCTTCACAGCCTCTCCCTCCCTCTCCCCCTCAGCCCCAGCCAGACGACGCGTTGCACGCCGATGCTGCTGCTGTTGCTGCACCGCCGCACCAGTGTGATCGATGAGTCGACCGACATCGAGACATCGAAGTTATAACGACTTCCTCCCACAACGACGAAGACGCCGCGCGCAGACGCCGCTGCAGCGGATACTTCCTTGGATATTTCTGACGGCGACGAGAAAAATGGCGCGCGATTTAAATCTCAGAGCAGACCGCGCAGCCCCTGGGCTGCTTGCTCTGTCAAACTAGTTTAATTGTTCCGAGAGCCGCCGTCGGGTTCAAAGGCTTAACGGCCGGCTTGCGTGAGAGAGCGCGGGCGGGAGAGAGCGGTGCGGGGCAGCACCAAGGCTCTCCGAACGCCCGAGGGTCACAACTTTAATAAAAAGGTCATGGGAGCGTTTGTTATTATTATGAGCAGGCCGATTCGTATATATATAGCTGCAGGCGGACCGTTGAGGCGTGGCGTGGCGTGGCGCCGCTACGGCAGTGGGCGGACGGCGCATATTCCAGGGAAACTCTTTGATTGCCGTTCAGCAGGAGAAGCCAGGCTTGGGCCGTGGCGGCGGCGGCGTCCCCTCGTCCTCGCTCCGTCCAGACGCAGTAAAAGAAGACCACTTTCGTGAAGATTCGGGCCCTCGTTCCTCCGGGCCTCCGGGCCGGGACGTTACAGTGGTGCATATCCCGAGAGATGACGGGGGCTTAGGCGAAGATGATCACTTCTGCTGCCCACGGCGTGCGCGCGAGGAAGTATCATGGTGAGAGTCGAAAGCAAGAGAAGTGGGGAGGGGGGAGGGGGGAGGAGGAGGCAAACAGAGCAAGAGAAGGAAATGGAAATGATTTCGATTCGTCCAAATTAATTTTCGAGGCGCATGGGGGAATGAGGGGGTGTTTTGGGTCGGGCGGCGCAGGTGTCGGGTGCATAGGTAGCCGTCAGCCTGTCGCTCCCTAGATAAGGCCACCCCGGAGATGGGGGGGATAGGAGGAGGGAGAGCTTGAGGGCTCAGCTCGGCCCGGGGCTGGGTTGGTTTGCCCCAAACTTGTCACACAAGCGGCGCGATAACAACGCAAACAAACTCGTCCCCAGTT